GGAAAACCGCTCCGAGTAGTCCTCAAACCTCCCTTGACCCTAGTACAGTACTGTAGTTGTGCGGCTGTGAGAAACGTCAGAGCTGGGATCTTCGTTGCACGCTTTGTAAAGGCATGGACTTTCGAAAGTAGGCTACCCAATCCATGGCTAGCAGAGGTCTAGTCGGTGAGAGGAGGCGCGTGCCGGAGGTGCAACGGCGTGTGGGCCTCGAGCAAAAGCGGAGTCGCAAACGTCCTCCAAGTGTTGACGTCAAACATGTACATGACGCGCCGAGACGGGCGCTGAGGAGACCACTCCTCAGCTACACCAGATTCCGATAGCGTCGTTGGCAAAGTGGTAGGTTGCTCCAGACGAGAGCCACTACGAAAGGACGCGCGTCGGGCGTCTGAGTCGCCGCGCGCAGAGGTAGCCATGGGCGAGCAGCACGAGCAGACCAAGAAGCCGCGTGCGGCTCGTGTGCCGAATCGTGACTGAAGCCGCGATGCACGCCCACTGAAAGTCCACTTGGTGCAGGCGACACTCAGCGGGCGGCGTCATGGCCAATGCGTGCTTCGGCGGGCGAGCGCAGCTCGAGGTACATTTTAGTACAGCCCCGCGGCGATTGAACATAGAGGGCGCTGCATAGTACAAGCCCCAGTTGACGTCGTGGAAGAAACGAAATGTGATTGGCCGCCGGAGCGGGCACGACGCGGTGTATGACGTCAACGGCCATTTGGTCAACGGCCGCCTTTTTCGTGGCCGTTGCGCCCATGACGTGGCACGTTGTGTTGCACCGGTTTCGTTTTGGATGCGGGGGCGAGATGGCACGAGCAATTCAGTACTGTTGCACTAAGGGTATAAAAACCCTTGGCTACGCTACGAGGATAGGTATTTGCGTTGGACAAGCCGGCGTACCGTCGACCGACACGCTGCGATCTGGTCCGGGCCATCGGTGGACTTTAGCAGGTGGTCCACGGATCGGTGCCCGCGAACGATTCGCAGGAGACAATAAAATGCACCCATGCACCACGTGCGATGGTAATAACTTCGTAAATGCCTCCTAAAATACCGCGAGCGGAGCGTGTGCTGTCATAACAGTACAGTATCACGGCGCTATCGAGTCCACTCTGCGGTCCGACGTAGGCAGCGTAGGATATAAAGAGCACGCGGGGCGCACGTCGATCGCATTTAGAACTTGGTTTCTGTTGTTGGCTTGGGAAAGCAGTGAATGCTGTAGACACCAGTGTATCGGTTGTCAAGCGCAGGAATCCGACTTGGATCGCTTTCGCTGGTCAGGCCACGCCGGCTTTGCGGCATTTGATTGGTGGATATTCTCTGTTGCAGAATCCATTCCAATAAAAAACACTCGGATTGTGTATGCCTCGAAATATTTTTATGCACGGCCCAAGTGATTGGACCAGCCGTGGTGTAATTTACGATGACACCGCCGACGAAGCCGACCAAGAAGCCGGCCAAGAAGGCCAAGCAGGTCAAGCCGCTCGCGGTCGCACCCGGCAGCAACTGGCAAAAGCTCAAGGCCTCCGTCGCCAAGCCGGCCTCCAACAAGCCCAAGAAGCACGACCTCGCGCCGGCGCCCAAGGCCAAGAAGGCCAAGGCGGCGCCCAGCATCGACTGGATCGACACGAGCCTCATCGTGGCCATGGATTGCGAAATGGTCGGCGTCGGCTCGGACGGCAAGCGCAGTGTGCTCGCTCGCTGCAGTATCGTCGACTTTGACGGCAACGTCGTCTACGACGAGCATGTCAAGCCGCTCGAGCGCGTCACCGACTTTCGCACGCACGTCAGTGGCATCCGCGCCAAGTCTCTGCGCGACGCGCTCCCGTTTGAGCAGGTGCGTTTACGCGAATGATCACCGCTAAGCGCGACGGTGTCTTTAGTGCCAGAAGGACGTGGCGGCCATCTTCGACGGCAAGATCGTGGTCGGGCACGCCATTCGAAACGATATGCAGGTCGACGCGTGGCGCTGCAGAGCGAGATCATTGACATTGGCATCTAGGCACTCATGCTCACCCACCCCAAGGGTATGATCCGGGACACGACCAAGTACCGGCCGTACATGCGCCGCAAGGTCAACGGCACCGTACGCCCGCTTTGCATCGAGTCGTGTCATCTCACCTTTTACTGTCCTCGCAGAAACTGTACCCCAAGGCGCTCAAGCACTTGGCCGAAGAAGTGCTGCACAAGACGATCCAGACGGGCGAGCACGACTCGGTCGAAGATGCGCGCATCACGCTCGAGCTCTACAAGCGCGCGATGGGTCCGTGGGAGAAGGCTATCCGAGCCAGCAAGGCGCCGGGCCTCCTCGTGGGCCAGCAGCCGCCCAAGCTCCACCCCAAGACCAAGGCCGTCATCTCCGACACGCCCGCGACCGTCGACTCGGACGAGGACGAGTTTGACGCGGCAATTCGCAACATGGAACAGGGCCGCGTCAAGGCCACGTAAAGGCTTTGCGATCCCGGACGCCAAGCAGCTGTCGCTGGCCGAGTACGACGAATAAGACTTCCTCAACGCCATAGTACCATCTTCTTGTCCGACGTGGTTGTTGTCCACCGACTAGCTGGCTTCGGGTCCCTTTCTTTTTCACAGAATTCTGCCCGTTGGACGATGCACAGTCGCTCGCTGTCACTTTGGCCACAACGCAATTTGACGAGATGCTGCCCACGCACATTGAGCTCGACGCGCCCGACGGCTACAACCACACGGTGACGCCCAAGGTCCTTCTCGACGTGACGTCGCCCCGCACGTCGGCCCCGCTGCCGGGCTGCAGCGTGGCCTTTCTCCTCCTCCTCGCAGCGCCCAAGATGGCCATGAACATGGCGTGGGCCGCGCAGTGGGCTGCGTTTGGGCCGCTCCTCGAAACCATGGTGCCGAGCTGGGCGGTGCAGCTCATCCAGATTGTCGGCCCCATGACGGGGCTGCTCGTCGCGCCGACGGTCGGCGTGCTCAGCGACGCCTGCACGAGGTACTAGTACCATCCCTTGTCGACGTCTCTTACGGAAGATGTTCTAGCAAGTATGGGCGTCGCCGGCCGTTCCTGCTGTTTGGCGCGATCACAAGTGCGCTCTGCTGGCTGCTCATGATGTACGCGCGGGAGATTGGCGTCGCCTTGGGGGACGCAGGCACGCGCCAGCCCATGACGGCCCTCTTCACGATTATCTGCTACGTGTGGATGGACATGTCGGTCAACATTACGCAGACGCCGGTCAACCTCATCGTCGCTGACTTTGCCGGGCCGCGCCAGGTGCTCGCGGCGTCGATCGGCCAAGGCTACGCGATCGCCGGGTCGTTTTGTGTCTCGGGCTACATTTTGGCCTTTGGCCCGGCCCACGAGTCGATCCACGCGTTTCTTGGGATGCTCATCGGCGTCATGCTGCTCACCGTGCTGCCCGTGTGCGTCTTTGCCAAGGAGACGCCGCTGCCGCCGCCCGTGCCCCATCGCTCGCTGCACCCGCGTCCTCCGCGCCTTTGGCGCCGTGTACACGGGCCTCAAGACGCTGCCACGCAACTTGGTCGCCTTTTGCGTCTGCTTTCTGCTCGTGCAGTACGGCTACACGGCCTACAACGGGGCGAAGGGCCAGTTCTTTGGGCTCGTCGTCTTTGACGGCGATGCGAGTGGCGCCAACGCGTGCGGCAGCGTACACGCACGACCTCGCCTCTCGTATCTGATGCGTGCGTGCGTAGAGCTGTTCGCCGGAGCAAGACGCGTACAACCGGGGCGTCGCGCTCGCGGGCGGCGTCACTGACACGCTCTTCAACGTTGTCGGCCTGCTCTACATGGTGTTGCTGCCGTACTTGGTCGCTGCCGCCGGCGCCAAGTGGGTGCTAACCCTCTCGATGCTGCCCCAGGCGCTGCTGATCGTCATGGCGTTCTCCAAGATGGTGGCGCTCAACGTGGTCCTCGTCGTGCTCTGCGCGATCACGCAGAACGCGCTCTTTGCGATGCAGATCCCGGTCATCCTCCACGTGGTCGGGCACGGCGAAGACAATAAGCTCGGCTTGTACGCCGGCGCCTTCAACTCGGCCAACTGTGCCGGGCAGCTGCTCAACTTTGCAGTCGCGTCGGCGCTCGTGCAGACGTCGATGGGCCACGCACTCCCGGTGCTCGTCGGCGGCGTGGTCAGCCTCGCGGCCGTGGTCGTGGCGGCCGTCGCCCTCGAGATGCCGGGGATGTAGCCGTTGCGATGACTAAACCTTGTTGAATTGCATTTGGCGCTTGCAATGTACATGGCAACACGAGTGTACAGTCACGACACGCATAAGTTCTTAGGAGTTAGTCGTCGCCAAGGTCATCGTCTTCGCTCAGTTGTCGCGGGCGAGGGACGCCGAGGTCGTCGTCGCCGTTGTAAAAGGTGGTCAAATCCATATCGGGCTCGACCACGAGCTCAATTGACTCGAGGCGCGCGCGCTGAATCGCTTCCGCGTCGTCCGTCACTACATGTCACATAGAAATCTTAATCGAGAAATCTTGGTAGCAAAAGCAGCCTACCAAATAAATCGGGTTAAAGCAGCGCTAAGGGTTCAAGAAGAGTTGTTGCACAAGGCTCGCGACAAAAGGAGCGCAAGCCGTCCGCCTTTTATCGTCCTACCAGCGAAATGACCTATTTCACGTTTGCAAAAACAGTGGACCCACTGCTCACTTTTCACGAACCGGCCCTCTTTCCGGACGTCGAAAATTAAGAAGAAATCTTGGTAGCGAAAGCTCTCTTGTCGGTTTTCGTTGTTTGTTGTTTGATGGAGCATTTTGGGGATGTTTTTACATGTTAATTCGTTGTCCGATCCGAAGAAGGAATAGAAATGAACACGCAATAACGTAAAGCGCCAATTAATGGTTTTTTTAAATTCGAAGTACGGTTAAACTGAATTTTCTCTTGAACGAAGAATCGGATTCTGGATTTGAAAAGTGATTCGGATGTAAAATGACGTTGGCTACACGTAGAGCCCAAGAAGGCTGCGGTTCGTGCAGAAATGCGAACGTAGTGAAACGCAGCGTGCAAAAGTGATCTGAGCCAGATAATGGTTTTTCAAACATACTTGGTTTTTGTATTAAAAAAGTTCGAAAAAAACGAACTTTTTTCCTTCGACCAGTATATGTATTTTGACAGGCATTGATGTGTTATGGAAGGTTATTTATTGCTAGGGTGCCAGAGCATGAAAACTTCAGTAACACATTATAGAGATCAGCGAGCGATGGCTCCATCGGATCTGGCTCGACCTTACGATCTTTGGGCTGGTTTTGCGCTTCTTCGAGGCATTGGCTTTCTCCTTCTATGCTACGTTGAACTCACAGATCTATTAGACCTCGAGAAGCTCCCCGGCAATGCGCACGCGCTTCGGGGGATCGTTTGGGACCGTCAGCACGTTGTTGCGGATGTGTTGCCGTTTGCGAATCCATTCCGGCACCTTGTACGGCAGAAAAGTTCTCTGCCACAAAGACGAGACGACCGCGCTTGAGATACAATATCGAGCGCCACTGCGCGTCCGATCGTTGTCGCGTCGTCTATGAAAATGACGTGGTGCTGAAGATACCATGCTCTTTTGGACTGAAATACCGTTCCTGGTAAGGTACTTGTTGATGCTGCGACGCACGGCGCACTTGAACGGCGAGAACACACCAGCGGATGGACAAGTTGCGTGGCGTTGGCCGGCAACAGAAAAAGAAGAACCTACAGAAGTTTAGCCTTGCGGGCGTAGAATAGATTGTACCCCGAGCGACGACGCCAAGACTATAGCATGCTCCGAAACGTGGCTGGAGCAACCGTTTATCACAAAAAGTTGATCGGCCGTTCGACTTCATCCGGGACGCTCTGATGATTGCGCGCTCGAGGAAGGTGCCCTTGGACCTCTTGCACTTCATGAAGAAGATTGGGAAATGAGCGCATGACTGCTCGAGAGCCATTCCTTTGTGCTCCTGCTGCACCAGCTCTCTGCCAGCCTGCATTCCTCTCCCGCATTTTGGCGCGAAAGATTCTGGCCCTCGACGCGCCAAATACGTCTACCTCTTACAATTGATCGTATCGAATGTACAAAGGTATAAGCTAGGCACAGTATATTTTGCTTCTTCCTGATTGGTCAATCCAAAAAACCATTATTTGGCTCAGAACCATTATTTGGCGCTTTACGTTAAAGTGTCAAAAATGTATTACGATCTAATGGGATGCTCATTCGATACGATGCGTCCTACGCGTCTGCGTGTATGACTGACTGGGTGTGTTACAACTTGTTGTGGCCGCCCGACCCAGGCTTTCGCTTGCCCAAGAACTGGGTCCCGTTCTTGAAGCACTCTTCGACCTCTGCCAGAACATTCTTCACTGTCGGTCGACTGACCTTGAGGGCCGCAGCAATCGTCTTCACAGCGTCTTCGATGACCGGCTCCTCGGATGCAGGCCGTACAGCCTTGACGTAATACACTGCGATGGCAATGCAGACTTGCTCATCAGTGATTACGCGTGGCTTGGTTGCGTTCGCCTCATCCTCCCACGGGAGAGGACGCGCCGCGGCAGGCGGTGCGTCCGGCAGCAGCGGCGTCGATTCATTTGGAGGCGCCCGGCGCGGACGCTTAGATGCGGGCTCTGGGGCGGGAGGTTCAACTGCCGACGTGTCATGAACGAGAGCATTGGACGCGAGCCGTCTCGCCAGGGCATAAGGCTGCCGGCCCTTCACCCGCTGTCCTATGGCCTTGCCGCCACGCTTCTTGTAGCCCATGCACTTCCCCCGGTATTTTTTAATCGCGATGAATCGCATAAAAAATCATGAGGTTTCGGAGTAGTTATTATTATTTAAAATTGCCGCGGGAGCTGATACATTTGCCCTTTATATGCTTCTCAAGAAATTTAATTCTCACAAGCCAGCACTTGAGCTCAATGCGCTCATTTGGACTCCTTCCGTTCTTCTCGGACCTCGAAACGGACGACGTAGGGACACACACATCAAGAAAACGCGTGCTCCTATGTTTTTAGATTTGTCTAATTCGCAAAAATGACGAAACATATTGACAGTGAAAACAAGTGACGGCTGAAACGATTTGCCCATGCCTGCGGTACAGTAGTACTAGCAAGGGTATATATACCCTTGGTACTAGTACCGGCAGGTCAGCTGAGTTGCTTGAGAGAGAAAAGCTCAAGTTGCCGACATGAGCACCCAGCTGCACCGAGCCCCGTGTCGGCGGCCTTACAAGCACCACGGTGCTCCACGTGACGGTGCTCCAGTCCTTTGTCCGTGCACGTGACATTGCCCTTTCTGCTATTTCCCACCTACAGCTTATTTCCCACGCGTGGTTTTCTCATGCCAGCGTTTCAGAAGATCGCAACCCTTCCACAATAAGATCTTGAAAGCGATGGAGAGCAAGCACGCGTTGGTGAGCGACGGCGAGCTCCTCAAGTCGTCGAACAGCCTGAAGGCGACCAAGGCCAACCCGCGCCACGACTCGCTCGAGTACGACCCCGCGGTCGCCGAGCGTCTCGGTGAGTGTCATGTCTCGAGCGCGCTTCCAACGTCGAATGGTAGCGGCCACGTACAAGAAGCACGGTGGCGACCTCAAGGACATCTTCGAGGTGCATCCTTCTCCCGTAGTATGGGGCATGGGCCATAGCTATTGTAGGAGCTGGACGAGAACCCGCGCAAGGCGCTCAAGCACCCGCCGTCGGACGCAAACGACTTTGGCGTCAAGTACGCGCAGGGGTTTTACACATACGCCGAAGAAAAGTAAGACTACTCAACAGGCACGACCGTGCTCGAGCGCGTCGGTTTCTTGGGTTTGTTGACGCGCTTGGTTTGCTCGCTCTCACTCGAATCCTCATTTTCGGCGCGCTCGCGGGCGTTCGAGAGCTCGATCATCGCATTCTAGACGCCACCTCAGCCACAGCAGCGCTCCAGAAGAGGGATGTACCATATACTTGGGGTTGGCGTGGATCGAGTACGTCTTGACGGGCGCCGCCATCGCCTCCCACGTGAGCATGCGGTCGCCTTTGTTCCGCACGTCCGAGTCGACGATCCACTTGCGAATCAAGATCCCGTTCTCTTGGAGCTCGTAGCCTTTTGCGCTGTCGACGGCCTTGGCGGTGGCGTCGACCTGGTACTCGCCGGTGAAGTCCGGGTACTGCGACACGAGCGGCGTTTCGCCCGAGTACTTGCGCTTGCTGTGCATGAGCGTCTTCTGGAGCGTCGACGAGCACGAGTTGGCGACGCCGGTCGCGAGCCAGTACAGTGGCTTTTCCAGGATCGGCCACAAGAAAGCGCCAAAAAACTGCGATAAAAAGAAGAGCACGAGCGCGACGAGAAAGAAGAGGAAGATGGGAAAGACGTTGAGTCGCCAGATCTTGGACGAGAGGCCCGCGGAGCCGAGCGGATCGTACTGGCTCACGGCAGCTTGGAGCTCGTTGTAGAGGTCGTTGGTGTCGGTCGAGTTGGATGGGACGCCGAATTCGCGCAGAACCCACGACACGTTCAACAAGCCCGACTGGAGAAACATGCTGTTGCCGTACATCCACGTTGAGAAACCGAGGTGCAGCAAAAGCGCAAATGGTAGCATCGCCTGCGAGAGCTCGCCGAGCGCCTGCACTTCGTCAGCGAAAAACCGAGTAGAAATGAAGAAAGGTACCTCGTCGTAGGCGGTGCGGACCGAGTACAGCTTCATGATGGTCAGTTTATCGAGAAGATGCATGACGAGGCACGCGAGGGCAGCGACGGGAAGCAGCACGGGAATACCCCCGCAGTACATCATGGTCACAAACACCGTGTTGAGCACGAGCGGGTACCTACCTCGTACGTGATGACAATATTGTACACAACGCAGATAATAAACCGCAGCGAAATGTCAAAGGGCGGGCCTGCGAACAAGTCGTTCATTTGCTTTTGCGTCACTGCGGCCTTGAGCGCTCGCGACCGCCGCCACGGCCGAATGACGTACGTTTGCAAGATCGGTCCGATCTGCGGCGAGACCGCGTTGATGATCATGGTCGTCGAGATGCCAACGCCGACGCTAATGTACCACTGCCGCACAAAGTCGTCGAATTTGCCGTTGAGGATCTCCCGCAGCGTCGACGGCAGTGGCACCGAACTCAAGTTGGCGTTCACCAAGAGGACAATGATACCTAGTACATCCTTTTGTTTCCATCCCAGTTGAAGAACGTCGCTATACCCGTGTTGAGCAGCTGCGCGAAAAAGAGCTTGAGCACCGTGGCCGACGCGCGCTCGCTCTCACTCACGTGGCGCTCAAAGTCAGCAAAGGCGCGGAGAATCATCTGCAGCACGAGGTTGACGACAATGACCGTGGCCGCTGCGAGGAAGAGCGACGCATTCTTCTTGACGTAATTCGACAAGTACTCTTGGCACGGCAGCTAGCACACTCTCCTTTTACACCCATTGAAACATAGAGGGATGGGTTACCTGGTAGCTGTACATCTTTTTGGGGCCATCGAGCCAGCCGTAGAGAGAAATCGCGCGCTCGAGAGCGGGCTCGCAGTAGCATTTGAGGAGGTCGGATGCCTTGTACGTCGTACACGGCCGCGTCTTGTCGTCCTTGAGCGCCGGCTGGAAGCACGGGAGCGTGCTGCACGTCGTATCGAGGCTTGGAATCGCAGAGATGCAGCGGTTGGTCACGCACTGCGTCGCATTGCCGACCTGGATTTGCGGCACCACGACGTTGTTGGTGTACGAAATGTAGTAGCTTCCCGTCGGGCACGTCACGTTGGGGTATTGGTTCCAGTAGAGTTGCCACTTGAGCGTCGGGATCGCCGAGTAGTTGCCCGTAAAGACGGCCGGGAGCGCCTCGGAGCAAAAGTTGGGGATCGAGTCCCCTGCGAACGTAGCTTGCGCACTACAAGAACGAACGTAAAGAAGGTTGGTGCAATGGTTGCTTGCCTCTGCGCCAGCGAAATGACCGCGCACGACACGAGCAAGAGCAAAAACGTCACAAAGTTGGTCACATACCGCCTACACAACTGCGTACAAGAAGAACATATGTCGCATTTGTACCGAAAACGCCGCTCACGCACGGGCACTTCGAGGTTTTCCCAAATGATGTTGGACGGCTCGGGCGCTTGCTGCACCCAGAGCGCGTGAGTGCCCTGGAACCGAAGCTCCTTGGGCTGGAACCGGCGCGCCAAGCTGTACTGGCTCGTGCGGTAGTCACGCAGACACCTTATTGATCCATGGTACGAATGCATGACGGCTACGCAGGCGTACCGCCGCTGGGCCTCGACGCTGTTGAAGACAACAAAGGCGCAGTCGCAGTCGGTGAGGTTGTTGGCGCGGTTTTCGCGGAGCTCCTTGAGCTTGCTCGTTTTCTTCTCGAGGGTGTCGGTCACCTTTTCCAGCTGCGCTTCGATCCTAGACGCCCGCGCCATTTCGCTTGCAACAATTGCGAGAGAAGAAAGGTTGTACTTGGTTGTGATCTCAAGGCGGTCGGCCGCATCCATTGTGGGCAGCGCCTTGAGCGTTCTGAGAATGTCGTTGAGCTCGGCGGCCTTGCCCGTGAGGTATTCCATCGCCAGAAACGTCCGCAGGAGCCCGCCCGTTGGGTGCGCAATGCTCACTTCGGCCACGTACGTGCGCAGATACATCTCGTGGGGGTGCGTGAGGTGCGCCGTGTTGTCGACAGGCTTGGCGAGCCGCCCGCCGCGCGTCAAATCGCCTTGCACCTTGGGCGCCCGGGGCCGACCCCAGCAGCCGAGCTTCATCGGGTACTCTCTCCTCTCGGTCGTTGGGTCGTAGCGCGCGTTAAAGTGCTGTAAAATGCTTTCTTGGGTCGCCGACGGTGGCAAGCCGCGCACGTACACGGCGTATTTCGCCGGCGTAATCGCGTCGGCGTTGCGTGCAATGACTTGGTCCGCCGTGATCTATCGTCACAACGTCAACGTGTTGTTCTGGACGACTGGACGAATACCTTGAAGAACCACATGAACGCGGCAAACGTCAGGGAGTAGAGAAAGTCGCAGGCGGTGATGAGGTAGCTCACGATGTGGGGGTCGTCCGTGAAGGGGTTGCCGGCGCACCACTCGGTGGTCGCGTTCGCAGTCGAGTTGACGCCTTCGTTGGCGATCGTCAAGAGACCGAGACGCATCGGGTCAATCATCTGCGTGTCGATGCCGCGGGCCGACGCGTGCATGACGAGCGCTGGCAATGCCAGCACCGACATGACGACGAAGCAGAGACCCATGTACTTGGTGAAGAGGAAATAGAGCTGCAGGCCGACGCCGAGCTCGGCAATGTCCTTCATGGTCGTCTTAAAGAACGACTTGCCCGCGCCGAGACGCTCCGCGGCGGCAAAGTCTTTGGCGTACTTGATCATCTCGACGCGTGTGAGTGCTCTCTTGGCCGAGCCAGGACGATTGCGCAACCCGTCGAGATCCGCAGGCAGCGGAGCTGTGGTTGATGTGGTGATGCTTGTCGCCAACGGAGGGGCACTGGCTTCGTCCGTCCACGAAGGGTCCGGGTGGAACGACGACCAGCCGACCGCGCGATCAGGCTCTGGTGTCCATGAAGTGTTCGGATCCAGCGACGACCACCCAGCGTTCTCGGTGTTGGCCGCTTCGTCCATGTACGCCTGGCCTTGGTCTAAATTTTCTTGACCTGGCCACATTTGAGGGTTGTCAGTTTGACTTGTAACGGCGTCTCCTTCTGGCTGTGGCCACGCGTCCGAGGTGTCATTCGGGTCTGGATAGACATCTGCTTGGTCGCCTGCTCCATCGACCCACTCGGCGCCATCAGTCATGTCGTCGGCGTCATTGACCGTGTTGTCACCAAGCGCGCCGTCATCTTCGTGCGGTTCGTCGGGTGCCTCGTCGGTTGCCCACTGGCCTTCATTCTCTTCCATCGGTGCGTTTTCCATTGCATCGGTGTCTTGCACCCACTCTGCATTGGTGTCAGTGTCTGCAAGCACTGTTTCGTCACGCCACGCTCCCAAGTTGCTCTCTTCGGACGCTGTCTCGATCGGCGCGCCAAGGCTGGTGTCTTCAAGCGCTGCCTCGGTTGGCGTCTCGCTCGACCCCACGTCGTCAGGCGGAGCGCCGCCTTGGACCTCTGTCCATTCGCTGTATGTGGCGTCGGCCTCTGTCAGCGTACCTGCTGCGCCGTCGTCGACTTGGCCCGTTGTGACTGTGTCGTTTGCTGGTGTGCTCGCAGCATCGACTTCCTCCGGCACGACCTGCGACTCGGGATCCGTGCTGACGCTACGCGGATCAAGGTTGTCCGACATGGACGCGTCATTCTCCTCGGTGAGATTCGTCGCTGCGTCGGTGTAAGGGGTTGGCGGCTCGAGAGGCTCTGGCAAAGGCGGCGCCGAGGCTCCTGGCAATGGAGGCAGACGTATTGCGGACATCGCGATGGCGTCAGCTTCGAGGCTTGCCTCGACAGGACTCTCGGGCGTACTTCCTTGAGCCAATTCGGGCTCCATCTTGCGCCGCAGCGACGACCGTTGAACGTTTAGAGGCGTTTGAAATGGTCAACCGCCTGTCTATCAATAGCGTTCATTTGTAGCTGCATCGCAACCACACGAGATGCGTATGGAGCATTTACAGCAATCCAAACAGGGGAATGAAGCAATTCGCTTGATCCTAACTCACCAAGCGGCTTGTGGAAGCAGACGGCGTTTCCTCGTGGGTTGCCGACAGTGGCAGGGAGGCCCCATTGTCCAGGCAAGCAATGACACCTTAAAGCCCTAAACGAGTCTGTCGCCTAGAACCAATAGACTGGGGCGGCTTGCTTAACCCTCCAACGCCTGGTTCATGTAAAATCAAGGGCACGTCAACGAAGTGTACTCAGTGTAATTGCTGGACCACCCCCATGTCAACCGGAGTGATCCGGAGGCGTCTAATCATAGCCTGCGAAAGATCGCTTGTCGAGCGCACCAGAAACGCCGATCATGGTGGGCGGGCCGCGACCGAGCGAGCCACCGGCGTCCAACCTCGGGAGCATCAGCCTCAACGAGTCCATGTTCAAGCTCAGCGAGCTCATGAAGCTCCACGGCGTCTTTGAGCAAGACTCGGCGCTCACCGAGAAGCAGTTCGTATCGCACTTTGGCTCGATCCTCGGCGGCGACCACTGGACGCCGACGCAGATCTCGCAGCTCTTTATGAAGATCGACGCCAACTCGGACGGGACTGTGGACTGGGACGAGTTCACGAACTTCATGTTCCTCAACGCCAACGCGACCAAAGACTCGTCCGCGACCTCGACCGCCGCCTTTCTGCCCCGCGACGACTATGTACACGGCCAAGGATGATGATGGCGTCGTCTTACGCGCATGTAGGTGGCCGAAGAGACGCCCGTGACGACCCACCGGGCGCGCGACGTCTTCGTTGCGATCGAGACGCTGCCACGCAGCGGCCAGTACCTCGCGTGCACCCACGGCGGCGTCATCTCGACGTTCGCGCCGACAGCGCTGGCGGCGCCGCTCCAGTCGTTCAAGACGGCGAGCGCTCGCAGCAAGTCGGACTGGATCTCGAGCATGGTCTATTTGCGCGTGAGCGGCAAGGTGGCTGTCGCGTCCATGGAGGCTGGCGTCGTCTTCTACGATCTCTCGACGCCCGACAAGAAGATCGTGTCCAAAATCCCATTTTCCGAGTTGGAGCATGCGACGCCGCTGAGTTTGAGCACGATGGTCGACGAAGGGAGCATGCGCGAGAGCCTCTTCATTGGCGACGACGTCGGCTTCGTCACGCAAATCGTTTTTGACGAGCCGACGACGTGGCACGTGTGCGACGGCGAAATCGGCTGCCACAGCGACCCGACGCTCGACGGCTGCAAAATCTCACGCGTCGAGCGTCACACCGACTACATTTCATGCCTCGAGTTTGTCTCGGACCTCAACTGCCTCGTCTCGGCGTCCCACGATGGCTCGGTCAAGGTACCGTGGCCCATGATCGTCCAGTTTGGATGAGGCATTCACTAGGTGGTGGATATCACACGGGGCGCGCTCAAGCGCGACTTTCGACAGCACCGCGGCGCTGTCTACTCGTTTGCGTGGTGCAAGGAGCCCAAGCTCATCGCGAGCTGCGGCCTCGAGCGTCAAGTGCTGCTCTGGAGCCCGTACTCGATCCGGCTCGTCGGTCGCCTCGTGGGCCACACGTGCTCGATCAAACAAGTCATCTGGAATGCCGCGTCGTACAGCCTCTTGAGCCTCGGCTTTGACGGCCTCGGTACCGACACTGTTGGTGTGCGATTGCTCTGACACGCGCGCAATGCTAGTGCGCGTGTGGGACGTGAAAAACTGCAAGTGCAATCAGGTCATTGAAGACGCCTCGCACGAACGCCACAAGGTGAGTTTGCTCGCGTTCGACGCCCGCTACAAGCACTTGATCACGGCGTCGAGTGCGCTCAACGACTGGCCCCTGCACCCGATGGTCGGCGTCCAAGAAGCGCTGCAGCCGCACGAGCATCCCATCTGCAAGATCCTCTTCGATCCCTCGTTCCAGCAAGTCGTGAGCATCGACACCAACGCGCACGTTGTGCTATGGAACCTCCTCGACGGCTCGATGATTTCCAACTTTGACATCTCCGACTCGACCATCACCGCCGCCGTAAACCCCATTTTGACTCGCACACGGATCGAAGGAGGAGGATAACTGGAGAGATCTTACTAGGCGCTGGACGAGTCAGGGCGTCGGCTCATCACGGGCAGTCACGCCGGCGACGACGTCAAGCTATGGAACTTCAGCAACGGCAGTCTCCTCACGACGCTCAAGAAAGAGAAGGATGACCACCATCTTGACGCCCTCCTGCGCTTTAACCGCGCCGAGCTCGACGACGACGCGGGCCGAGTCAAGCTGCCGCCGAGTCTGCACACACAGAGCGTGCACGTGCCCCGCGTGCCCCGGTGCATCGCGCCAAAGTCGAACGAAGTCACAAGCGTGCTCTCCATCACAACGTCGATTCCGTTCTCGTCCGGGCGCGGCTTTACGCAGTCGAAATACATTGCGTGCACGGGCTGGGACCGCCGCGTGTACGTCTGGAACGACTCGAACGCGACCGAGTACCTCCGCTGCATGCCCGAGAAGAAGCGGGCGACGGGGCACACGGACGACGTTCTGTCGCTGACCTATTGCCCGCCCAAGAGCATCGCGACGGGCGGCGTCGACGGCTGCGGTGCGACCTCTCTCGCGTGTGTGTGAAGATGCATCATCCTCACCATCTAGTCATTCTCTGGGGCCTCAACTCGGGCGACGTCATGCACAAGTTTCAATTCTCGAGCGGTGTGCACTACTACCTTGCAACGGCTCATCGCTCGTCTTTGGTAGGTATCGAAGCGCTCATGTACCCGCCCAAGCTCGGGCTCCTCGTTGGCGTGACGACGAACGCGACGCTCGTCCTCATCAACCCGCGCCACACGGTGGTGCACGCGACCGTCGACCTGCGGGAAGACGACGCCCTTTGCGAAGTCCGCGTCGCGCGCTGCGACGTCGATGGCGAGCTGCTCTTCACGGGTCTCTCCAACGGACTCGTCCAGGTGTTCCGGCTCACGTGCCTCCCACTTTTGTGCGTGGAGAACGTGCACGCGTGGACCGCGCACGAGACCTCGATCGCCGCGCTCGACTACGT